AACTCCAAATTGTAGAGAAAGAACAAATTTGATAGAAATTAGGAACCACCTAACTGAACCCTAGATCGGATTCCAAATAGATCTCCTATCCACACGAGGAAAGCGAAATCTCCAACGGCAACTCCTAATGCTATCTCCACCGAAGCCTAGAACTCCAAGAACCAAGCTTCACACAAAAAATCTTCCTCCAGCAAAAAACCCTATATCTGAAATCTGGGCTCTAATACCACTTGTTGCGCGCAACGAAAATTTCGGCAGCACTTCGACAGCACAACAAGAGAGTCAGTTCGCAATAAGAATTCTTGTTTCTCAAAGGGAACAAGAATCTGAAGCCTAATATCCCATCAAAGTGGGATATTAGCTCTTCCTCTCGTCAGCTCTAGGACTGCGCGTCGAGGGAACCTAAAAGCTATTACAAATCACACAAATAGCAGTACAATCAATTTTTACGTGGTTCGGTAAATTGCCTACGTCCACGGGGCAAGGAGGGGGAGATCTACTAATAGAGGGAGAGAATACAACTAGGGTTTACAATCACTCACAATCTAAACCCTCAAACAAACTCTCTCAAATCCCTCACAAACTCTCTCTACAAAAGGGATGCACAAAAAACCTAAAAGAAAAACCTCTTCTTTTCTTTTGCACCGCAGCAGAAAATCTCCTGCTCTCAAATTCTTTGCCGCAGCCGCAAAACACAAAAAAACTCTGCACCTGTTCCGCAGTCGCACAAAGGAAAACCAACAAATTAACCTCCTGCACACAGCACGAAGCCTCTGTTTTTGCACCTGCAACCGCAAAAATTTCCCACGAAACAAATCCTTGCACACAACCCTAGGGGAACTGCACAAAAGGTATTTATATATTTATTTTCCTTCGTGGGCCGCCCGCACCAGATCCGATTTCTTCACGCGTAAACAAAACCGAGTCGGTTTTGTATTCTCTGCTTCGTACGCGGACATAATAGTCACGTGGGTGGGGGCCCACGTCTGCTCACACCTCAATTTACCCACCCTTTGAACATTACAACTGAAATCATTATCATAATTTTCTGATAAAATCTTAAAATTAAAGATGGTTTTCTAATAATCCTTTAACTTGAACTTTAGAGGGTTTGAAAAGTTATGGAGGTTTCTCTCATAATCGTCCATAGTTAAAAGAGTTTTTTTAGTCTATTTTTAGCTTTAAAGATTCTTCACGGGACGGTGTGCCGTGATGTACTGACTGTAGATGACTCTCCCTCGAGATATGGTGCATAGATCTTGGACGCCACCGCGCAGAGCACTGATGCATGTGACTGGTTGCATCCTAGAAAATGCACATCTTGACTCAGCCGGCGCAGCCGCATGAAAACAAATGATTTTGACATGTGCGTTACTGGACAACGAATTACTTTTTTTATTAGTTGTTTATTAATTGCTCAAAGTGGTGGAAGAATGAATCACTATGGCATGCCTGTTCTGATCTATGAATTACTTTTTTATTAGTTGTTGTTGAAAGTGGTTGAAGAATTATTTTCTCTATATATAATTTTATATATAATTTTATAAAAAAAAATTTACAAAATAGACATATTTTACTAAATATTTAAACAAATAGATCGTTTTGTTAAATATTTAGCAAAACAGATCTCTTTTTTGTCAACAGACCAAAAAGAGGTCGATTTTACAAAACAGACCATTCGAAACATGCGGGACTAGTAGCCCCGTATGATTTAATGGGATTAAATCATATGAGACTATTAGTCTCGTATGTTTCGAATGGTCTGTTTTGCAAAATCCAAGATGAGTCAAGGGGGGAAATAAGAAACAAAAAGAAAAGAATAGATAACTATAGTACTCATTGTTCGTGAGTGGGGGCTACTTAAGGACTTGAGACTAGCGCAGAGTTTGGCACAAACACCGTCACGGAGACAGGCTCATAGAGAGCTAGAGATGAGCTCCACAAGGGCAAAGGAGATGAGACCGCACGCGGTGTGCATGCCTTATCCAGCCCAAGGCCACATCCACGCAACGCTCAAGCTAGCGCGCCTCCTCCACTCCAAGGGCTTCCACATCACCTTCGTCCACACCGAGTCCAACTACAACCGAATCCTCTCCGCCGGCGACAACGACATCGGGGGCCTCGATGACTTCAGGTTCGAGACGATCCCCGACGGCGTGCCTCCTCACGCCCAGGGCCACGACTCTCTCCTCCTCGCAGTCCGGCACAAGCTCGCCTCGCCTTTCCGCGGCCTGTTGGAGAGGATGAACGACCCTTGTTCCGGAGTTCCACCCGTCAGCTGCATAATTTCTGATACTTTTACTACCTTCACGGTTGAGGTTGCTGAGGAATTTGGGATACCGGACGTGTTCTTTTGCTCCGTTAGCGCGGTTGGCTATCTGGGATTTATTCAGTTCAAGGATCTCGCCGAAAGAGGGTTGATGCCTATCGGAAGTACGTATGGATGGAGCTCAACGTATACTTAATCGTCTCTAAAATTGATTTTGTCACAGTTCTTTTTTTTTTTTATATATATTCCAATATCAGTAAAGAGGCAAATTGAGCTTCTTAATTACGGTCATTGGGGATTGATTTAGTTAAATTTAAAGCTCACCATGGTTGAATTTTTAGGTGAAAATGGATACCTCGAGACTCCCATCGACTGGATACCAGGGATCAAGAACATCCGATTGAAAAATCTCCCGAATATCAGAATAGATGATCCGGACAACATCATCTTCGACCTCCTCAAAGACGAAGCACAAGGAGCTCCTCGAGCATCGGCAATCATCATCAACACCTTTGAGGATCTTGAGGAGGAAGTCCTCAATGCAATGGCATCGTTTCTTCCTCCTATCTACACGATCGGACCCCTAACCTTGCTATGTCGACAAGAACTTGATAGCTCTGTGAAAACAGTCGGGTTCAATAGCCTATGGAGGGAGGATTCCAGTTGCTTGCAATGGCTAGAAGGAAGAGCACCTGGTTCAGTGATGTACGTCAATTTCGGAAGTATAGCTTTGATGACGGACGAGCAACTGATTGAGTTCGGGTGGGGGTTGGCTAATAGCGGCCACGACTTCTTGTGGGTGATCAGGCCTAATTCTAAAGAAGGTGCTGCTCATAATATTTTCCTTTCTTACAGTTTAGCTTTATATTGCCCATACGTATCCTAGAATATGTTTTGCTCTATTCAATACGTATGCCAATTGATAATAAGAGGGTTGTTTCTTCCTACATGACTGAAGGAGATCATTCTTCTATTTTACCGAAGGAGTTCTCGGATGAGACGAGGGACAGGGGCTTGCTGACGACCTGGTGTCCGCAGGAGGAAGTGCTCATGCACCCCTCGGTTGGAGGATTTCTGACCCATTGCGGGTGGAACTCGACAATGGAGAGCCTAAGTGCCGGCGTCCCCATGTTATGCTGGCCGTATATTGGCGATCAGCCAACGAATTGCTGGTATTTGTGTAGCCAGTTGGGGATCGGTATCGAGGTCGATAGCAATGTGAAGAGAGAGGGGGTCGAGGGGTTGATCAGAGAATTGATGGGGGGTGAGAGAGGGAAGGAGATGAAGAACAAGGCGTTGGAATGGAAGGAAGCTGCGGTTAAGGCAACCGAGCCGGGGGGCAAGTCCTACGTGAACCTTGATAGGGTGATCAAGGAGGTGCTTCTTGCGAGGAAAGAGTAGCTGGGGTTTTAATATTCAAAGATAATAAGTACACGTGTCGCATGACATATTTCTCTCCCTTTGTATTATGTTAGGTTAGTCGTTTCAAGCTTTTTCTAATGTGCTGTAGTGTCGTGCATATGTTTTTGACCTATATATTGTTTTCTTCTCCTGCTTCATCTACTTGAATAAATTGCCGTGTTGTTTTACTAAACATGACAGCAGAAAGCCAAGATGTACGTTAGATCCCATAACCTTCAGAAGAAAAGAATCATAGACACGGCTCTTTATTAAAAAAAATTCAAACAATAGTGATATTTGTCCAATAACCTATTCTAAAACAATATATTCAAATATGCAACAGCAGTATAATCACTAGAAAACGCAATCAAATATAGTAGCATGTACTATTATCTAGTTTAACAAATGGATACGTTATGTTGTATCTTAATTCAAGTTGAAGTCATATATGTTGAAATAAAAGGATGAGAGATAAGTTCTATATTATTATCGATTTTGAAGAAGAAGCTGCCTATTCCATATTTATACACTTTGTACGATCTCTATGAAAGTAAGAGGCTAATGTCCCATATTTATACACTTTGTATAATCTATACTATATATAAAAGGGCCGGGTGTGTTACAACTTTTGATTGTCCATTTTACCCCTCTCAAATTTGATAATTCTAACTTTACTTTAATTATTTTCTTTATTAAATTTATCTCAAAGTCTCATTCAACGAGTCTTAAATTAAATTAAATTAATTGCAAATCATCATAGGCTCTTAAGAAATTACATTACTAATTTAATTAAAAGCATATGTTGTGGATCCAATTAACTAACCACTTTTTCATTTTCCCTTTACATAACCTTTTTTTTATTTCTACACTATAAATTACGGTCATCCATTTTCTCCAACGTACCACATCACCTACTAAGCCAAATTCCTACACCAACACGATGGTTTATGAAATATGTTGTATGGAAAGTTTGTCAAATGACTTTTATTATGGTTTGTACATATATGTGCACGAGCATACATTGATAATATTTGTCAAATGGTTTGTAGACATCAATATTTATTTTTTATGGGGTTGAAGACTATGTCTCATGTGCAATAACATAGCTCTTGATTTGTGTTTTATCTATTGAATACTTGAAAAAGAGAAGGATAATAGATTATACAAAAGTTAATATTTGGAAGTCTTGATATTTAAGAGTACATAAAAATATGATTTGGAAGCCAAAGATTGTTTTCAGTATGTGCCTTTTTTCGAACTATGGATTGGGTAAGATTCTTATTGATCTTTTAATATTTGCAAAGAATGTATGATCTTGTTTTTAGAGTTTATGCAAAGCTATTTAAAGATTTCCCCCCTCACACAATGTTGTAAAGAGCTTTTTCCCCCTCATACAATGTTGTAAAGAGCTTTTCGTGCTATATATGATAAGTTGTGCTTTTTCTATTCAATATAGATCATAAGTTGCGCTTTCTTGTTCGTTAGATGTATTAATAGTTTAATTTCAACTAATTATTTAGTTCATATACATTTTAAGTTCAGAAGTGCTATCAATTTATCTGACGCTTTCAATGTTTTGTGCCCTTTTGATTTTTTTTACCTCTACTAAGCATCTTTTATGTTCTTTCATTAATAATTATGTTAAATCATATAACTTTATTTGTCTTCTTTTTGATTACTCACCAATAAGTTCTTTGTTCCTATCATCTTTAGGCTACAAAGATTTAACTAATAAAACAAATTGGCTACCTATCTTCTACTCATTGAGTAAACCAGAATACACAAATCTACATATAATATATATTTGATTGAATTGCGTGAAACTTTGATTTCTTATATGAAATCTAGATTACTTCGTCTTTTGATTGAGATTCATTAATTTAGATTAAAAAATTGACCTATACAATTCCTCTATGAGCAAAGTTATTCAAACAACATCTTTATATCATTGTGATTCCATCTTGCTAGTATACTTTTTGTAAATTTGCATCTACTAACAATTTTTGCTATTCCAACAAGATACTAGACATTTAATGTTAATTATTCAGTAGCCTTTGTAACTTTCATGAATGCTACATTGAGAATCAATACGCTATATAAGTAAACATTATATAAGTAAACATTATATAAGTAAACATTATATCATAAGTACATATTTAATAATCAATAATGTAGAATATATTATTATTCACTAATAAATTCTTCAACCAAATATGCCACGTGCAATGCACGTGTGGCATGCTAGTTTATATAAAAGAAAAACGCTAATTAAAAAAGTACCTATAAGAAAGAAATGTCCTAAACTGTGTGAGATCTTATAATTAACTAACACATCAAATCAAGATATCTTTATATAGGCAATAAATGTTCTAAATATTCCAATACTCCCACTCAAACTAAAGCATAATGACTAGCGAAGGTTGCCCCGACAAAAGTTGAATAGTTGATGATAACTTATCCAAAAAGGAGTTAGTTTGCCACTCCTGGTATCCAGGTTATATCAGCATAAAAGTGATTGAAATAAACCCGATTATGCCAACAACCGACCAAAAAAATAGCGGAGGCAGAAATAACGCGAAGAGAAAAAGGTTTTGCAAGTGACATCGACAAACAACGATTTGTGGAGGATGAAAGATAAAGATGCTCCACAAGCGATGCAATAGAAAGAATCTTGCAAGCAAGATAAGAGATCATGCAATGCAACGATACAGAAGTCAATGTTTTTATGTGTATACTGAAATCCGATAAAACCGAGTAACTGCATAAAAATCAACAAAGGCGAGATCAATATAGGGCGCTAGAATAACACTGAGATCAAGAGAGAATGCTGAAATAATATAAGATAACCCATGCAGTAAATAGAGATCCGAGCTGCAAATCAGGCAAACAAGCCAAGAAATCGAGCTGAATAATGAGATCCGCTAGACTAAAACTGAGAAAATCTCAAAAGTTGCTTGTAGCTTCTGAATAGTTGTATGAGTTGAGCATATATATATATATATATATATATATATATATATATAATGATATAAATGAGANATATAATGATGCACCTGAGAAAAATCAAAGTGAAAGATCAACCAAACATAGGACAAAGTTCAATGTAAAAAAACAAAAAATCAACAATATTCTTCTAAATATGCATCTACTGTTAAGATGATGAGAGATGATCCATTTGAAGAAAACAAAATGGAAGCGTATGAAATTTGAAGCGGAGGTAAAAACCGTGCACATTATTGATGTTGAAGCCAAAAAAGATGCCAGCGAGGTCGATGCTCATATTGAGGTCAAAGCCACCAAGGACAAGCGCAATGACAGCGCTTGCACAATGATGACGCTTGTAGAAAATTCCTCTCGGCAACCCCAAGACATAAAAAGAAGGCGGCCTCTAGGATAGGAAAACTTGCTTGCTTTTATACCATGTTGAAATTAAAAAGAAAAAAAAAGAAAACTTCTACATTCTCATTGATTTTGAAAAGGGCAATGCCCCATATTTATTTGCGTTGTAGAATCTCTATAGAAGTACAACTCTAAGGGCTGTTTGGATCTTTCTTAGTAAGCCATACGATAGCTATAGTAATATGGAAATCAATCGTCCAGCAAGACCTGACAGCTACAGTAACATCAAGTCAAACCATAAGGGGCTGTTTGGTTACATTATTTCTTGAGTCAAAGTGGTGTAAAGTTACTGTACATGGGGTCCACGTTTAGCTTTCACTGTTTTACAGTATTTGCATGCAACTTTAAAATCATGTAAAGTTGCTGATGTGTCACCCAATTGGTGATGTGTCCGTGTAAAGCAAAATCCCCCCAAAATGAGCTGTTTTGGGCGGAAAGCTGCTATAATGTCAGTAAAGGACATTAAAAAAAATAAACTTACCAATTAACTCATCTTTCCATCACCACTCTTCCTTCTCTATTTCTTCTTGTGTCATAAATACTCTAGTTTACATTATACTATCCAAACAATGTAATACTATTATTTTAGGATTCACAAAGATTCCTAACCAAACAATATAAACACTAAAATGAAAAGTGGTGAGGTGGATAACCACTTTCCATTTTGTGTCATAAATACTCTAGTTTCCCTAATGCATCCAAATAGCCCCTAAGGAGATGAAGCGAATTGCATAGAGGCTGCCAGCAAGGTTTTGCAAGGCCCCATCAGCCTTTTCTTTACACAAACCAAACAGAATGAAAGGGGCTGTTTGGATGCCTTTAGGAAACTAGAGTATTTATGACACAAAATAGAAAGTGGTTATCCATCTCACCACTTTCCATTCGAGTGTTTACATTGTTTGGTTAGGAATCTTTGTGAATCCTAAAATAATAGTATTACATTGTTTGGATAGTATAATGTAAACTAAAGTATTTATGACACAAAATGGAAAGTGGTTATCCACCTCACCACTTTCTATAAGATTTTAACTTTTTTATTATTTTTTTTGACACATTTATGACATTGTGTAAGCTTTCCAACAAAATCACTCCTAATTTTCGTGATTTTACTTTCGGTGACACCTCATCAAAAGGTGCAAGCTTTTCATGTAAAAGAGAATTTAAACAAACAATGTAAAGTGATGAAAGCTGACATTGGGACCCACTTTTTTACACTTTCCATCCTTTTACATGATAAAAACATACAACCAAACAGCCCCAAAGTGTAAAGCTACTGTAGCTGTCAGATTACCGTAACAACCTAGAGAAAACAGCCCCAAACAAACAGCCTCTAATAAGAAAAGGTAACAACAATAGAAGAAATACCTAAATTATAATAATTTATTAACACATCGAATCAAGATATCTTTAACAAAGGTAATAAAACTTCTGCATCTTCCAACAATATTCTAGCTATGATTCTAAGCCTACTTTTTCTATTATGACCTCTAATTTAGCTCTAGGTTCTTTACACACTACATGGGATATCTTGAGTAACTGTGTTGCATGCTTCCTTTGCTCTCGGACAAGGGGAGCCTCGAGAGGACATGGGATTCCCTCACCCTAAAAGTCATGGTCATAGCGGTCGTCATGGTATTCCAGACCCCTGAACTTCACCGTAGTTGTGTACGGGTCCGGTTATATGAAGCATGATTATCAAATGATGGAAATAATTACCCATAGACGCCTGAGTTTGCCATAAATTGTCAATAGGTCCAAAAGTATTGACCAAGTGCTATAAAGATTAGTAATAAC